CTTGCACTGTAGTGTGAAATGATGCTTCACTTCAGAAAAACTATTACCAAATCGAACTTGTGTACATATGTATGGTACAGCTATCTATCCATCTATCTATCTATCTATCTATCTATCTATCTATCTACATAAAACATCTATTCCATCAGAAACTGACTTCCATTCAAGTACACAGAAAGCATGCACAGAGGATTTCATTCTCCTGCATTGAGGTCTTGCTCTAGGCGTATTTAGGTCCATAATGTCTACAATCCCATTTGAGTTCTAGCAATGCCAGTGGGATGCTAATGTGTTGTCCTGGTCAGCAGAACATGCTGACATGTTTACCTGTGTGGGTAAACAGGAGCAGAGTACAAACCAGGTCAGCTGACATGGTTCTTGGAAAGAAGCTGTTGTCCTCACTGGTTGAGAAAAACCCCTCCTTGCCTCCCGTAATGATGGCCATTAATATTTCCACCTGGTTGCCACTTGGACTAATCCCACAGGAGCTTCTCACCTTGAGCCAGAGGTTACTCAAAGTCATTGTGCTGCTCTGAAGTCTGGGTTCACTCTCTGGGGACTCATCATTAGCCAAGTCAGGTATGAGGCTGAATCTTAATAGTTAGAGAGGAAGGCTAATAGAAAGGGAAGCCTTCCAATTTTTTTTATCCAGTAAGTGTGCTATGGTAATGAATTTGGAGCCTAGTGGCTCCAGTTGGAGTGGGAAGCTTGCTGCATTGCGAGCAGGTCTTTAATCCACATAAAGAGGTGTTTCATAAGCCGTATGTGATGCCCTGCTTTGAATATTAATACCTAGAGTACTTATTCAGCTCACAGCCATTTCATGGAAATGCCATGCCTCTATGAGGCCAGACAGAGCCCTTGGGTGCTCCAGTTTTGCCTTTTTTTGCAAAGACAGTTTCAGGTTGTTCTGTACTCTTAATTCAAAATTCTCATTCAGTTTAGAGTCTCTGAAACCACTGCATTTATATTACATAATATTAACTGATTTTAGATTTAATGAAAATGTGAAGGAGACTATAGGACAGCAGGCTTGGTCTACTTAGCCAAGTGACCTGTTAGTTATATACTTCATGAAGTTACTTAATCTTCTACAGAGCAAGCTCTTCTAAAATGAAATAACACAGGCAGCAGGGACTGTTCTGGCAAGCACTGTTTTTAAAGGCCTTCTGCAAAAGCTGGGGAATGAATATTCAGTGTGAACTGAGATGCATTCTGGCTGTGTCAGCCGTGCAGCTTTTGTGTTTTTACATTTATACCTGTGGGCAGAGCTGGGGAAATTACAGCTACAGAGCCCCTGGTGTAGCACTTGCTCCCACCAAGTGCTGTTCATCCAGAGCTGCGGGCACTGCATCTACAGCAGCGGCAGGCTCACAGTGAAGTGGGGCTCTTAGAAATGGGGGTGGACAACCCTGATTGTTTTTAATATTAGCATATGCCCGTGATAATGCCCGGGAAAGATGGTTCAGGCTGCTGTGCTGGGCCTCGCTCACACTCCAGCTCAAGCAATCCAGGGTGGAGCCAAGCCAGCCGCCTTGTGGGGGATCCTTCCCACAAAACCAGACTTACTGAGCAACGAGTGGGTTGTCACTTCTGTGTGTCGATTGTTACAACTGTTTTTCTCTCCCAGTGCTGGAAAGGGAGGATGTAGCACGTATTGCTTTTCTCTGCGGGTGGGTGCTGCATTTAAATGTGCTCCCTATTAAAAAGTGTCATTGTTATTTGCTAGTTGTGGCTGCAAAGCACTCTTGTTCTCTGGTGACCAGCAGGACACAGCACATACTTGCAGTGCAAGAATTCTGCTCTGAGGCAGGGCATAAACCAATCCTAGTCTTGACACTGATTAAGAAAATAAGTAAGAAATAGTTATGGAAGGGAACATTTGTGTGCAAATCTCAAGGACATGGACCTTGTGCACTGTGCTCATCAGCAAACCATCTCCTCCTCTTTGCTGTATTTATTCATGCATGAGGCAAGAGGGTCACTTAATGCTTTGGACCAAATCCTCCTGGATTTCAGTTGTGTAGCCTATGGTAGAAGTGGTGTACGTAGGATCATGCAGATCAGGTACCTTCCAGTGACTCTTCCAGGTGACTGGGGAGGGCACAGCTGCACCACCAGCCCGAAAGACTTCAGTCTGGGTGGGTAAGTGCTTGCAGAGAGGGGGACCTGGAGCTCTGTGAGCAACCATGGCATTACTCTGCTGAGCCTGATAAGAAATCCTACCTGGGCCAAGGACAGCAACATAATATGATAAGGGAGACAGGAGTATCCTCCTGGGTTTCTATGCATGCAGCATGGTGTGGAGTTGTCCTGGGCATGTTCATTTCCTAAGCAAGATGAAGATATAACTTGCAAAATACTCTGTGGAGTGAGAAAGCAGAAAATAAAGAATGAAAATGTCTACCCAAACCATAACTGTCCACTGATGAATTAAAGGAACACCAAGCACCATTCTGAATTTTTAAAGCATGTCAGATAACCCAGCTTGAATTTCAACAGAAGGGTAAGTCACTCACTGCAGAAAGGGATGAAAACCTCAGGTGTGTCACAGGCAGAGGGAATTTCGATGTCCCTACACCCCAGGGAGGAGGTGGGAAGGTGAAGTGGGTGCTGGGTATCATAAACTTTGGAAAATCCCTCTTGTCTACCTGCCACTACCTCTGTGGTCCTCTGTCCCAGCAAGTCCCTTCTCCTCACCTGGTGGTGTATTTCATTTCTTGAGCTTGTCTGGGACATGGACCAGTGGTACTCTCAGGAGGCAAGGAAGCTGTGCAGAGACAAAAAAAAGAGGCAGGGCTTTGAGGGAGATGCAACAGTGGTCAGAGACAGCTGGAATTCTGCTCTCCCCCTGAGAGGGAGGGTCTGACCTCCTGGGGCTGAGAACTGCTGGAAGCTGAACAGCTGTGTTCTTTCTCCCTGCTCGTGTGCTATCAGCTTGAGAAAATCGCCAGGATTGTTTGCGTTATAACTGTCCCTCATCTGGACATGCAGGGAAAGTTGTATCAGGTGGAACAGAGATGCTGTCCCCAGATAACTCCCCCTGCCTGCAGTGGGGCCAGTGCCCTTGTGGCTTTGCAACGCCACATGGCATCCAGAAGCTGAGCCTGGGTGGCTGCAGCATGAGCAGAGTGGCCTCTCTTCTCTGTTATATCCAGCTGCACAATCTGTTCCCCCTTCCCTGTCTGGGGTTATCTGTCTCTGCAAGCTTTTTCTGGGTTTCAGGGGGTTTGCTCAGCTCTGACCACAAAGGTAGTATAAAGAGATGGCTGGAAAGGCTGCTCCTGGGAGGGAAAGAGTAAGAGGTGCTGGAGGAACTGATAAGCAAGGAGATTGAACAGGGTGTAACAAACAGGCCTAGAATCTTCAGTTAAAGAGAATTGAGGTCTGGGAGCTTATTTAGAGGGTGTGGGACTGGGACAGGATGGCAGAAAGCCCAGCCTTTAGACTGGAAAGGATTTAGGTCTTTCTCTCTTTACTGCCCCACGGAGTGTGTGCCTTGCATAGGGTGGGACTGGCAGTGGGAGCACGGGGCAGGGAGGAGAGAGCATGGTTTTCTAGCAACTCTGCCTTTGTGGGACAACAGAGCAATTCTGCCTTTGTGGGACAACGATGCAACAATGGAGCTTCCAGGAAAGCAGAGGCTGTGCTCACTGTGGCTGGGTGGTGAACCAGGAAGTGTCAGAAGCTCATGACAAACAACAAATCTAAGGAGATGGATTCATTTTTCAAGACTGAAGTAGGCACAGAGAGTGGCACGAGGGTGATTTATGTACTTAAGCAAGGTTTTGGCATTTGTGCCCAGCTTTGTGGTTCATTTCCTCATTCACTCAAATGCATAAAGACTGAACAAATGTTTGGTAAACAGGAACCCAAGGTTTCAGCGATGAAAAGCTTTAACTCTCACCCACAGAGCTGCTTGCAGCATTGGCTTGGAAATGTTTTTGAGAAGATGATGATTTCCTCCTCCCCGGTCTCATGACTGGGGTAGCTGCAGCTGTGACCCCCCACATTGCCTCATGGCTGCACCCCCAGCAAGCTGCCAAGGGCTGGAAAGAGAGAGAAAAGTGTGTGGTGAGGTGGAGCCCTTTGGGTCAGCCTCCATCGGCGCTGGCAGGAGCAGCTCGGAAACTTGCACAGCTGCTGCCCGGGCTCGATTTGGGCTGTGAATAACTGGAGAGCTTTCCATCACCAGGGCTGTCAGTTCAGGTATTTGCAAGCACTTTCTTTGGTGGTTTCTTTTTAGTGTGGTTGCTGGACAGGATAGAGAGAGGAACCTTTCATGCTTCAGCTTCTGCAGCATCCGGCGTTTTCATGAAACCACAAAGGATGTTAAAGAAAAAAGAACAAGCGCTCTGTTTATAGGGATTTAGACTGTCAAAACAAAGAGGGGGCTGTGTTGTTCAGTGACCACTCAGAGTCAAGGAGCCAGAAGACATAGGTTCACAGTAGATGGGCTTCCAGGCTAAAGCCCACCCTCCCCTGGCCACAGTTTGTTACCCCTCGCTTGTGCCACCACAAGGGTTGGCAGAGTTGGCTGGCACTTCATATCCACTGTGCTGCCCAGCATTGCTGTGCATATTAAAAAGTTTCTCAGGATGATGACTCTAAATTTCTGCAGCTGCCTGGGAATTTGTCTTGTGTAGGGCTTTCCACTCAGAGCCCCTGGCAGGACATGTTGGATGCAAAGGAGAAGCGTGCAGCACCCAAATGAGGAATGCATGGGAAAAGGAGTTGGGGAATATGTAGTCCACACACTGACATCTGCTGCTGCACTGGTTGACAGCAAATGTTTCTTTTCACCTGTGTTCAGTGCAGATTTTTGTGCAAGCACATTAGTATGAGGTAGGACAGAAACAGGTCTGAAGGCAGTAGCAGTACCCTGCTCCCAAAGGTAGTCTGGATGCCTTTTTTAGGAGCATTACACCAGGACAATGGTAGTGGGAGGAGAAGGGTGATGACAGCCTGTGATTCTTAATTTCTTGTTCATCTCTCCTCAGTGTCCAAGCTGACTGAAATGCAAAATGAAAGCAACTGTGCAGCATAAATCAGATGCTGGAAGTCCTTTGCATGATCTACACCCAGTGTCACCTCCACAGCTCCTGGACTCCATGCTGAGGTGGCCAACAGGATGTGAAGCTGCCCCAACCCACCACTTCAGACCTTGGAAGAACAAATTTCAAACCAAGAAATGGCCTGCAAACATCCTGAGCCAGCCAGTGCTCTTTTGTAGGTATTTGTGGAGAAAAGCAATTTGGAGGGATGCAGTATGAATGGCTGCAGTGCCATTGCAGACTGAAAGTCTGTGCAGTCAGTCCTGGTGGTGGCTACAGGAGCCAGCCTGCTCCCACACCCCGGGGGTGGGCATGATTCCCAGAAAAGCAATGGCAACACAAGGGCAGAGCATGAGAGAGGCACAGCTCTGCACAGCCCTGGGTGCCCTGCACCAAGGTGCATCCACACTCTTGCCTCCAGCTTGGTTCATCAAAACTTTTCCATCTGAATTAAAGTTGCCATGTTTTCCTAGATAAAGAGACTCTTGCTCGCTGCCAAAATTTCTGGTTTCTTCTCACTGCTGGAGTGTGGTAACTCTTAGGAAAAAGAGCTGCAGGAGGAGGAATAAATAAATAAGTTCTCACTCATACTATTTAGTCACCCAGTGGCCATTGGATACCTCACTTAAGTATATTATTAGCAACCCTGGCATTTCAAACATAAACAGCAAGCAAGATGGTGTGTGTGATATGTGTGTGTGTGGTGTGTGTGTGTCTGTGTGTGTCTGTGTGTCTGTGTGCTGCCTCCAGACGTTGCTGGCACGTGTCTGATGTGTGGGCTCTGTGCATCCCAAAAGTGTCTCCCAAGGCAGCAGGAAGGGAAGCCAGGAGGGTGTCAGGCAAGAAGAGCCCTCCTTTGCTCTGCAGGGAGGATGAGCACCCACTTCTGGCCTTCCTGAGTGCTCAGCCCCCTTCCAGGGTTCAGACTGCACCGAGTCAAAGGGTTGGCCATGTGTGGGGCTCTGTTTCAATGCAACCATGTCCAAATCATCTCCTGTTAACCTGCAAGGAGAATACTGGGCTAAGAATATTTTAGAAGCCTTAGGAAGGGTGGGGGCTGAATCAAATGCTGCTGTTTTATTATCCAAGTTTCTTTTAACAAGCTGTCCATTCACAGAGTGCCAGTAAAATTTGGATGTCCTATTTTGGGTGTGGAAGAGACTTCACAATTTCTGGTACTTATGGAACCTGTGAAAGTTATTTTCTTTTTGGGTTTATGTAAAAACATTCCCAGAGTCAAGCATGTGGGGATTTTCTGAGGAAAAGGTGTGGAGATATAGTCTAAGTAGGCTTCATGGTTTTCATCATCTTGGTAGAGAAAAAAAAATCAGATGTTTTACAAGGGTATTTTTTCCAAAGGAGGCTTGATTAGGAGTCTCCACATTACATAAGTGACTTAAAGCTGAAGATTCAAGCTAATTAAACACATTTTCAGTGTACCATGCTGTCTGTACAGATACTAATTAATCTAGTCCTAAGGCTTTTTGGCCCCTTTTTAGTCAGGTATTCTCACCAGGTAATTTTAGCCAACCAGACATGAATTTGTTGCAGCACTGGTTTTGTGAAAAGTTTGAATTTTCTCCTAGAGTTTTCTGTTGACTCTTATGAACAGTCTTGCTGGTCCACAGTGTTTCTGCAGAGCTCTCAGAGTGAATGTGCTAGTGAGCTTTGGGTGTGTTTCCCACACAATTGTGTCACCCATGTGCATGATTTGGAAAAAACACATAAGGGCAGAATCTTCATATAAGGTTCCCTTACGGTTAAATTTCTTCATTAAAAAGCAGATATCCTTATCCACCAAGACCATATACCAAATCATCAGCCGAAGGAACTCCTAAAAGGCTGTGGGACTGACCACGAGGTAGCCAGAAGGTCAGTGAGGTCTCTCAGGCTAACAGCAGCATGGGAGGGGTAACTCCAAATTCAGCAGCATCATCCTATACTTGCATGCTAGTGAATCCCACCAATACTAGCTAGCCAATACTTCCAACAGATTCGTTTTCCAGACCTTCCCATCAACATTTTTCATAGCTAAATTTCTGTGGATCACATCTTTAGTGTTATCTTGAAATATATTTTGGTGTCCTTTAAATGTGTTATCACTCAGAGACAACACAAAGTGCCTTCAGACACTAGGCAGAGAGCCAAAACCTGTCCTTGGATGAATATTTGCTATTCGTCTTCAATCCATGCTATCTGAAGGTCAAGTTGGACCCAGACTGAAATGTTAAGTCAAAGCCAAAGAAGTTTTAGGAGGACAAAAGTAGCTATTGGTAGTTTCCACTTCCTTTTTTTCTGGTGGTGGGGAGGTAAAATATGAGTAAGAGGAGGCAGAGGAAACATCCCAAATGCATCTTTTAGGATTCTATGATCCCTTGGTTTCTAGCTGTTAAAGTGCAAGGTATCTCACTCTTACCTTATAATTTGTGCTCAGCTCTTCCACAGCCTTTTTTGCCAACACTGAGCCCAACCATGTCTTTGACTGAGTGCATAGGTTTTGTTTTTGCTACTGACTTTTTCTGTTGGGTCCATCTTGCTGGGTGACACTCGTGTGCCAGGATAGGGGTGCTTGCAACAGGCATTCAGCTGGGTGCACTTCCTCCCTCCCAGTTTCAGGAAGGCATATCCAAATGTAATCCTACGTGCAAACACCGGTGAGTCAGCGGTACTGAACGCTGTCTGCTAAACACTGATGCTGTGCTTGGCCAGCAGCTTATGGGGCTCAATCCTCTGCATGGAGATTACAAACTGGAGAGCTGGGGCTGCCCAAGCTTGGTGCAAGCCATGGCGATGTGCCTCTGCCTGGGGTTGTCACAGGGAGAACCCCCCTGCTTCTGTCCCCATTCATGGCTGGGCTGGCTCCCACACCCCACTGCCATGCCAGCCAGGGAAGGCTTCTCTCACCAGGAAAACACCTCCCTCCCAGCTGCTGGCCTGGGGCCACCAGCAGGTTCCTCACCGGTTTTGAAGTCATCTCCAAATGGCAATGACTCCTCTGAAGCCCACTAAATGAATTTGCTCTTTACAGATAACTGGTTAGCATTGGGACCTAGAATATTGCCTTGTGGTTGCTAATAACCTGGGTCAGAACTGAGCTGGTGATTTATTCAGGAAAGGCTTTATTTCTGCCTCCTTAGGTGCCTGCCTTGCTGCTTTGCCTGTCTCCCTGATCTCTCTTCCGATCCTCTTATTCTCACATTCTGGGTATTTCCAGCTACCTCTGAATGAGGCATTAATGCAGATAAATATTACTGCAAAGAAGTGATGGCCAAATACTCTCTGCATCATTTATATGCATTGGTTGGGGAGTGATTTTTCATTTCATACATCATTTGCTATTTCAGCATGTGGCAATTCTGCAAAATAAGGAGGAGAACTAAAGAGCTGAAGAGCCCACCCTTTGTTCTTGCTGTTCCCAGCACTTGCAAGCGCAGGCACAGGGTGATTGTTGTACATTTTCTGGCCTGAGAAGCTTGGCCTGGCCTGAGATGCATTTGGATGAGCTCATGTGACACTTGTCTGGACCCTGTATTAAGACACCCTGCACAACTTTATCCTTGTTTTCTTCCTGTCTTTCTGCCTCTGTCTCTTCTTTTCTGGGCTTTAACACAGCCGTGTAGTTTTAATTTCTTCTCATTCCCCAAACCTCCCCTTTGCTGTATTCTGCATTTTTTGGAATTGTAATTGGTCCCAGCATATAACACACAACTATAAGCTCTTTCCCCTAACTCCAATAAGAGCTCATACCCAAGTGAAGTAATCTTTCCCACCTGGGCTGCTCCAGTGGTTTCATATCACTTAAATCTCCCTCATGAGTTGAGGACAAGTTCAAGGTAACATCTGCTCAGCTTTATGTTGCTTGTGTTTGTACTGGGGGTCCCTCAGTTCCCATTGTCAAGCAAGTGAAAGGAATGGCTTTGCCAGAGTTCCACATTTTCTGGGAGCATTTCCTGGAAGATAACCAGCTCTGCTGGGCTCACCCTGCTATTAGAAGCCCCATTAAAATCAAGGATGTATGTTCAGTGAATTTATTCTTCTGGACCACTGTGCTTGTTCCACCTTCCTATTTTCCCCTTGAGTTTCTTTGGGAATTCATTTCCCACCTGCTCTTCCATGTTACTGGTGGCACTGGGCTGTGAGACAGGAGCTGAGCTGCTTTGCGCTTGGCAAGCCACAGGCTCTGGTGGTCCTGCACCTTGCAGGGGTCCCACAGCTGGCAGTGGTGGCCTGTCAGCCACGCTGCTGAGTTTCGTTTCAAGTCCTCTGCTGGAAAGAGCCACCAGATTTGCTTTGTGGGGGCTGCTCCTCAAAGGCAAAGTACACCCTCACACAATGCTCTGCCGGCAATGCCCAAAGTCCCTGCAAAAGCTGTTGGCAATGAGGCTCTCCTGCAAAAGCATTTCAGGGGCCTGTTGATCCTGGGATATATATGAAGGTCATCTCCTTTGCCGTATTGCAAGTGTGGTGGGAACTAAAGGGTGTTTTTCTGAAGATTTCTCCTCCTCATGGACTCACATGCCATGCAGAGCTCATTCATCTCTGCAGTGTGCTACTGAATGCCTTGAAGTGAGCCATCATTTCATTTTCGGTGACTTCCTAATGTGTTTGTTCCTTTTTTTCTCCAAGCAACAGCAGAGGCATTGCTGTATTTGGCAAAAGAACAAAGCCTTATTGTTCAAAGCCTGTGCACTCCAGTATCAGCTGAGACAAACACACCATTGCACTCTTAGACCTCCATCTCAAAAGCCAGCTGGACAAAGAGTGAAAAGGCTCAAAATCACAAGTTAGAAAAGCATTTACCTTTATCTTTTCTTTAAAGGACTCTGCCGAGTACAGCTTTATATCTGTGCTTTCTTTCTGTTAGTAACACCTCTCTAGAAACGTGAAAATAGCATCTCTTTCTCTGTTGATTTGTCCCTCCGAGCAGCACAGATTGCTCCCCCTCCAATCGACAGGGCCCATCGTGTTGATTTGCTTATGCAACTCTGTTATCAATGATGTCGGTGTGGCTCTGGTCACACAAAGTGGGCGTGTTATCCTTTTCTTTGCCATTGCCTGGCAGCAACAGCCCTCCCCAGGAGCCTCCTCCACAGGCAGGTGCTGGGGTGATGCCTCAGCTCTTGCACAGCTCAGTGCTAGCCTGGACCCTGGCAGCCAGCAGTGGACGAGTCCCAGGAGGCTGCTGTATCACTGAAACTGCTTTGTGGCCAACCAAAACGTGCAGTGCTAGTATAACATATCTCATATCGATACAATGCCCATTTTTCCTGTCATAATTATGCCTGGTAAAAAGGGCACCTTTCCTGACATGCTTATCTACACCTTAGAAGCGTGAGCCCGGTGTTGCTTTGCCACGGAGTACCTATGCAATTCTCTCTCCATAAGCCAATGTTCTCAGCTTTCAATTATTTTTTGCTGGTTTTCCCAGCTCCTCCTGCAGCCTGGCAGCCACGCTGGCCAGGAGGCACCCAGAAAGAAAGCTTGCACAACATTGATCACACAGTTACTTATCTCTCTGCCCTGGGGTATGTCATGCAGCCCAAAGCCACACTGAGACTTTTTCTGTTGATGTGACAAATTGTAACCTCCTGTTCAATTTCCTGTATGCTAACCCTGCAAAGTGTTTCCTTGCATTTGGGTCTCCTTCTCCCATAGAGGGTCTTAATTTTGGACTACTTCTTTCCTAGACGTATTATTCTGTGTGTCCTTTGAGCTAGGTCATTTTCTCCCCATGCCACGTATCTTTTTTTGTGCTTTTATGTTATTTTCCATTCCTGGCTGGTGACTGCATCTCCTCCCCACTGTAGTATCAGTTGCAGTTTTAATAAACACACTGTCTAATGTTTTTTCTAGATCATTAATGAAGATGGTAAATAAAACTGGAGTTAACACCAGTTTCTGGTAATAACCCTACTGGATGCCTCCCCACAAGCTGACAGCTTTGTCGCTGATCACTATTCATCACCAAGCCTGAGCGTCAGTGTCCCCTTGTGAGGCAATTTATATTCATTTAACACCATTCATCACAAAATTGGAGAAAAACATGGCTAGAAAGGACCTCAAGAGGCTGATTTCAGAAATATTCCAGAAGCTTCCAGCCTGTTTTTAAACACAGGCAAGGATACAAGTTTTATATCCTTGCCAGGCAGGTGGGTTTAGTGTTGGTTAGCCTTCCCCTTTGCCAAGCATCTAACTTTAAGCTCTCTCTCAGCAATCCAAGCACTTCGTTTCTTACCACACTCACAATGGATATAGAGGACTGTCTGGAGGACATTTATTCCCTCCTTCTCTGGAAATAGTATTGTCTCTCCCCTGGTTTCCTTCTTTCTGGAGGAAACAATCCCTATGAGTGTTTCTTTCCAATTCCTCTTTTCTAGACCTCTCATCTCACTTCCTTTCAGACTTTCCTGAGCTGAACAAGTACTGTAGCAGCACTGGGTAAAACTGAGGGCACAGCTGTGTTTTTTACAGGCAGAGCTTTTCTCTGAGTGCACTGATATGGTGACTGCCTTGTGTATGACAAATGGCACTTTTTATTCATTTCAGGTTCCTGCATTGCTGCACTGCTCCACACCTGCCTAATCATCTGTCTCTCATTTTGTCCCTGTGCAGCTGACTATACCCACCTCTGTGCACAACTTTGCTTCTCTCCTTTTTTCTAGACCTTTTCTCTAACATGCCAGGATGATTTTTTTATTCTAGTCCTCTTTCAGGTCTTTGCAGATCCTCTCAGCTTGGTGTCATCTACATATCTGATAAGGATGCCCACTATCTCATAATCCAGCGGCTAGACCCCTGTTGAGCCCTACTCAACCCTTTATTGTATTTTTACAAAAACACTTTCTTTCTGAGCATGTTTTTTCCAACTTGTTTTGCACTCCTTACTTAAGGTAATTTCTCTAGGGCATATTTCCTTAAATTTACCTCTTGTAACACAAAATGAGATGGTACCAGAGATGTACCAAAATCAAGATACAAGAAGTATCCTGCTTTGTCTCTATCCACAAGACCTGTTGCAGGATTAAATTAGGCTGATTTGACATGATTTGCTCCTGGCAAATCAGCACTGGCTGTTCCCCTTCTCCTGGTTGTTTCCTAGGTGCTGATGATTAATTTGTTTAATTATTTGTTCTAGTGCATTTCCAGGAACCGAAATAGAGCTGACTGGCCGTAGCTGCCTCGCTCCTCTTGTTTCTCCTTTCTGCAGCCAGGCAGGGTGCTGCTCTGCGAGGAGCCCCACTGCCCCGTGCTGCTGCTCAGGGTTCATGGAGGGTCCCAGCCTGGGCTGACCCTTCTGTGGGTGCTGCTGCAAAGCCATCAGGCCAGTGCTTGCCTCAGCCTTCCCCTGACCACCAATCTATGGCCAGGATGCCTCCCTGCTCCCTGCCTTCCTGTCCTATGCTAGTTATGTTTCCTTTATCTCTTTCTCAATTTTATGCACCACAGTACATGCTGACCTTTGATGCGAGCCCTGAGCTGTCTGCATGTATCTCAGTTTTTCTGTTTGCTTCCTCCTTCCCTGTGAGACCCCTGAAAACTGACTGACACAGCCAGTTGATCTTTCTCTATATTTCTTAACTTTCAATTTTGCCTCAGCATGACTTAGGTTTGTGCCACTGCAATTTGCTCCTGTAGACTATTCTGAGGTTCTTGAAAGTCTTGGTGCTTCTTTCCCTGAGTGGTTGCTTACCAGTGTGCCGTGTTGCCTGAATATCGGTGGTGCTCAGCACAGCCTCTCAGTGGGGAAATGCAGAAACTCAGACTTTTGATGAAGTTATGAGCCTCACCCACTTTCAACTGGACTTTCCCAAACTGCACAAGACTTCTTGTTTTCGGTAACATCCTTATCTCTTAGCAAAAGTAAGCACAGTGAGCCAAATTCTGACCTCATTTACACCAGTAAAATCTGGACCTGTGCCAGCAAACTGCTGAAGCTGTTTTGGGCTTACAGTGATGAGAATGAAAGCAGCATCTGCCTCATTAATTCCCCCAATCCACAGAAAGTAAATGATTCCAAGAGGAAATAGCTCCACAGAAGGGAGCCCTGGAAAGAATTAGAGACTGACTTAATGGGATTAAGGGGGAAAAATGCTTAAACAAATTAAAATTGATCCTCTCTTCAAAACATTCAAGGTGCCAAAATAAATACAAACACTGTTTTGGGAAGGAAAAGGTTAAAAAGCTATAAAAACAAAATATCTCAGCCTCTTCTAATGATGTCCTGTAGCAGAATGAGCACAAGCCAGAAAGGGTTGCTGAATCAGCAATACCTACCTGCTGCTTGGTGTTTATCCATGGAACTCCAAGGATGGAGGTTCATTTCCTGCTATATCCATGGGGCTCATTCTGCATTTTCAGGTTTGATAAAATACTCCTGGAAACCAGATGGCAATACAAGTAGGCTTGGATGAACAAATGGAAACCCCCTCAGATGCCTCACCAACCTGACATCCAGACCCTAGAGCCATGCTCCAGTTGTTGCTTTGGCTTTCTCTTCTGCAGTTAATTACCATCTTTGCACATTCCTTCACCCATTCCACACTGTGCATGGCACTAGGATCAGGTAGGCCAAAAATGAATATGTGCAAAGAGCCTGTTCCTGATGTGTTGTTAGATATACTAGAAGCTGCATGCATTTGGCCTGCTCTTGCACAGTGATGTGGAAGGGGAAATATCTTGAGCAATTGGCAAAAGCCAGCATGATTCAGGCAGGCAGGTGGCCCCACATGCTGGCTGGGAGAAGGGCAGCAAGGAGTGCAAGGCTCACACTACCTTTTAGTGATAGCTGGAGGCAAGCAGGAGCTGTGACCCACACATGCAAATTGTCTTCACCTGCCTCCAGCAAGGTGCTGTCCCCATTCACCCAGGCACCCTGAGCCACCTGCCAGAAGAGCTGGGGAAATTAATTAAAGAATGGTCAAAACCTCTGAGTGACATGGACATTATTTCTACTTTTAGAGATGAGAGCTCACCACTGCCAAGGGCATTCCAGTACACAGGACATGGACTGTCTACTCTGATGACTTCTGAGGGAGAACAGGGCTTCTTGCAAAGACCCTTACACTGCAAGGTGAGCTTGGCTAAATGAAAGCACATGGAGGCAATATGTGAGAATGCACAAGGGCCAAGAAGCACTCCCTGTGATGGGAGACTACAGAGTGATCTACTTCACATACTTCAGAAATTATAAGGCAACTTGATAACAGTGCTGCAGTGCTTCCATTTAGGAAAAACATAGAATCTGCTAGAAGCAGAGGCAAAACAGATACAGGGGAGAAAAAGAGGGTCTAAATGTTCTATGAGGGTAACAAACAAACAAACAAACAAAGCAAAACAACAACAAATCAAAAAAGCCCAACAAAAAAAGGGCTTTTCTAACATCCTAGTATCCTAGTTAACTCTCCAGACTATTCAGTCTTTATGCCAAGATTAGGTTACATTCTAACAGATGCATCTGCAAATCTGAAAGAAGTTGCAGGCAAGCCTCAGAAATTACTGGGGCGGTGTACCATGGATCTCTTATGCAATAGGTTACACTTGATGATCATGATGGTCTCTTCTGACCTTAAGCAATGAATCCCTGACATTCAGCTGTGCTCAAATGTGCCACTTTATTGTACAGCAGTTTTGGATCAAAAATAGCTATTATCAGTGAAGTAAACAGAAAAATTAACAATGTCGTTGCTCCAGCACCCCTTGTGCTCCTTAATTCGTTGTTTCTTTATTTTATGTTGTCCTTAAATTTTTAGTGTGCTGCAGATCTATGTATTGGATATGCAGAAGCACATTACAGGGGTAATTATAAGGCAGCTGGAGGGTTTTGGCAGCTGGGAAGGGGATAACAAGCACTCTTGGCTCTTTGAGAGGCAGTGTGGGTTTGTGGGAGAGGGATTTTAGCTGAATGATAAGATTGTCAGCAGGGAAAGTCAAAGGGGCTGACAATAGTATTTGCATCATTTTGGAGTTAACCACTTCCAGAAAAGAACATCAGTTTGCAGCAAAATAGAAGCAAGCCATTGTTTACCCTGCAGACTGGTAATCTCTTGAATCTTGCAGGAAAGGGCTTTTTTCAATGCAGCTTTAAACCCAAAGTATAGGCTGTTTTACAGAAGTTTAAAGCCAAATGCTTCTGGAAAGCCACTGTTACAACACAGGGCTCTCTGTGTGTGCTGTAGGAGTCTGCCCTGGTGCAGAACCAGGGTCCACATCCACAGCAGTGCACAGCTGAGGGAGATCTTGCTTCCCTTGCTGCACTTTGCCCCAGTGAGTCTAGCTTGGGGTGTTTGTTCTCCTCAAAGCATAGATACCACTTCTCTGCTCCCTTTTTGCCTGTGAAGAGTTCAGCCTTGCAGCTAGGGAAGGGTGGTCCACATTGGAACCTGGTTTTAGTGAGAGTACAACCAAAGCTGGAGCCAGGGAGGCAGGACCAAGACACATAAGGTGCCTCTCACTACCATTTCAGTTTGGATTAAAGAAACCCATCTCCTGGGCAGGCCACACAACTGGTTTGATGATTCATACCAGGAAAGAGGATTGCAGCATGCAAGCTGGGCTCCTCTCGGGTGACACTGTCCTGGGAGAGGAAATGCAGGTGTGCACCTGAGGTGCTCCAACCTGTGGCTGCTCAGTCACGGGTAAAAGGGACTGACAGTGCACCAGCACTGCCCTTGAGCTGCTTTACTTGCTAAGGCTGATAGAGCCCTTGCCTTCTGTGACTGTGTCAATCAAAATGTCTCTTGTTTCCCAAGATCAGAAGTGGTTAAGTTAATTTATACTTCAGAAGGACCCATCAAAGGAACTGTCTTGGTTACGATGTGATCATCAGGAAGGCCAGAGTGTCTAGCCTCTCTTCTGTGACTGACTGAGGATGTGAGGCTGGCTTTCTGCTGAGAACCAGCTTGTGCCTATCACTCTCTAAGTTTTCCTGCTTAATATCCCTGCCCTGAACCAAAGCTGTGCTAATTTTTTACTAATGTCTGAGTAACAATGTAAGGGAAATATAAAGTGGTGAGGTTACAGAACAGTCCTAGGCTTGGTTGTCAGAAGAATAACCTTTCACTGTCCCTGGTCAACATTGCCATAGAGGTGATTTCCAAGGTGAGCCTTGACCTTCACATTAGTGGAACTATTAGTTCCATTTATTTTAGCAAAATCCTCTCTAAGATGATCATACATTTCCTTTGTCAAACTTAAAATTTCGCTTTGCTTTTATGAGTATAAACTGTTGTTTGAGTTGCTGAATATTTTTGAAGACTGACCCTCCCAATCCACGCTGATGATGAGCAAATTGAATCCTAACTTGTATGTCGTTTCTCCATCAGAGAACAAAGTGCTTTGGCAGTCTGGATCAAAGCACAATGTAAATTCAGGATTACTGTTGTTATAGTGTTATAGTGAAATGAGCTCCTGGAAAAATCATGTTGACTTCTCTTTTGAGATTGCCTGTAACATGGAGCCTTTGATGCCTAATGGCCTGGCACTGTATCTCTTGTAGGTATAGCCTATAAACAGAAATTTGTAATGAATAAGTAAATTTTTATTTTCAGGACCTAAGAACACAAGCTTATACACAAGACACAATGTATATTCTGGGCCCAAACATGTTAGAAAGAGACTAATAGGTGAGGTGTTCTTTTTAATCCAACATGGACATCTTTTACATACTCTCTATCCCATTGCAGATGGATGTTCAGTCAGCCAGATGAGGTGTTAGTTTGGATGGTACATCTTTAAATTTTGTGTTGTTATCAAACTGATGTGAACAAAAATGATACTGTGTATGGCCTCCACAGAAGGGCTAGGGATTATGGTTGAGGAAGAGTCAGGACTCCATGAAGGCTCTAGGGGAAACTTACAGAGTTACTGAAGGGAGGCCACAAGAGATCTGAAGAGGGACTTTTTACAAGGGCATTTAGTGATAGGACATGGGCAAATACTTAATACTGAAAGAGGGCAGGGTTAGATTGGATATTAGGAAGGAATTCTTCACTGTGAGGGTGGTGAGGCACTGGAACAAGCTGTCCAGAGAAGCTGTGGATGCCCCATCCCTGGAAATGTTCAAGACCAGGTTGGATGGGGCTTCAAGGAATGTGGTCTAATTGAAGGTGTCCTTGCCTATTGCAGGAGGTTTGGAACTAAATGATCTTTAAGTTCCCTTCCAACACAAACTATCCTGCAATTCTGTGAAATTCAGTTAGCACTTTACATTATTCTTCCAGGCCAGAGGAAATCTCGTGTGCTGGGAATGCCCTAACTTATATTCCCGATTCCTCCTACATCTGTAAAAGGCTTGGGGGAAAAAACATTTAAAATGGGTTGCTGTTTGCAGTCACTCTTCCATGCAAGGTCCCAAAAATGGTGCTAAGCAGCCCCTGGTTCATGGTAACCTGACACCAAAAGCCATGCTGGTGCTGGCTGGCTGGGGGTCCTACAGAGACAGAGCCAAAAGAAACCTACTTCACCTTCTTGCTTAGTCAGGCACCCCACCTTGTGACTGTCACAGTGTGCCGTGCCCTCACGTTTCTCCTTGTCATTTTCTGAACCTCTGTGCTCCCCAGGCGACTCCAACAGGGATGAGCATATTGCCATGGCAACCAAAATACAGAAGCTGGACAAGGTTTGTTCTCCTAACCGTTCCCAGTCTGTGTCTGTGGGAGCATCTCTGGCACTGGTGCAGGGAGGGGCCCTGGAGGGGACCTGCATGGGGTTGAGTTTCCTAGCAGGAAGAAGCAGAATGTGCAGTCCTCACGAGGCACCTCTCATTAACTCTCCAGGGTGTACAGTAGACAAGAGGATGGAGGGAAGATTTCCTTCTCGTTTTCCACACGTGGGCCGGCATGGCACAGGTGCTGCATGCAGGACACAAAGGCTGAGGCCAGCTTTGTGAGTGACCATCAATACTGGAGCACTGGTGGAAAGCACAGCTCAAAGGAGAGAGCCAGCACCAGCATGGGGTTCCAGGAGAGAAGCACATGCTCCTGCAGGGCAAGTTTCTTTGCCCAGGCTGATGGGGTAGGTTGGGTCTCTCATCTTGTTTTTTTTTGTTTGCAATATTAGAGTCAGTGAAAAGGGAATCTTCCAGCACCTTTGGAAGCCTCTGCAGACCCTTCATCACCAAGGCTTTGCCAGGAGGTCAATATGCTCTCAAATGACTAAAATCCAGGCTTGGGATATGGCTGGAGCAGCCCTGACCCTCCCCCTCCAGGAGCAGCTGCTACTGCACATCAGGAGAGAGGAAGTTAGCGGGGAAACATCGTGAAACTTCTGAAGGTGCTAATTAAACAACTTTAAGTTATAAACATTTTTAATTGGACTCATTTTTGGTGTCACATACTATCTCTTGATGAGACAAGAGCTAAAGCTAAAATTAAAGCTGTTTTAATCTCTCTTTCTCTGCTCCTCCTCTCTACCCTGGTTGTGTTTCTGGTTGCAAAGTAGAAAGAAATCACTGAGGCTTCTGGGCTTTGCTGAAGAATGCTATTTTTAAGGTGTTATATTTGATTTACTTTAAATCTGACCAAAAATTCCACCTTGGGACTAAACCTCCTTTATCAATGTTATAGCTAACTTTCTGCTTTTGCATGCAGATTTTTAAGGAGGAAAAAAAAATTGGGCTTGGAAGAGATGCTAGCTCACCACCTTAATGATGACAGCAGGTATACTGCAGCATACCACTGTCTCCTTGTCATAAATGATACGCCATCATCTTTTTTTCTGTCTTTTTTCTTTTTCCTTTTTTCTTTTTTTTTTATTATTAAATGTTTCTTGAATTACAGAAATGTGTTTGTATTGAATTACAAGATCCAAACACCATCAGGTTTTCCTGTGTGCTCCTTTGTCACTGTCATGGGCTAACCAAAACTCTCCAGGCTTTAACAGAGTGGGGATTGTGGTCCAGACTGTGCAGGTCATACTGTGTTTTGCCCTGGGAATAGTTAAAGACATCCCATTTCAACCTGTCTCTTATGAGCCCACTGCTGCTTCACATGTGATCTCTACTCTGCAAGAACAATTTTAAACCCAAGGTCTTGAAATTATTGACTCTCTGTGAGAGCCTTTCTCCAGGGGCTCAGGAGGACAGAGATGGAAGGGGCTGAAGATTTCACTATCAGTCTCACCTTTTCTCTCCTTGCCCTGCAAGCACTCCTGAATGTGGCACTCTGCTGACAGCAGCGATATTTTGGTCAATGTGCATGTACAGAGATGTCTGCTCATCTGCTGAGCAGCCACTAGCCAGGGATGTGCAGGTCAAAGAGGATGCACACTGGAAGGATGCCTGAGCAGCTGGTAGCAGGTCAAAGGCTGTGCTCCCCACAGGGCAGCTCCTGCCTTTTGGGAGAGGTGGGAGGAGCAGACAGAGCTGCCCTAGGACTGCCCTGTGCTCAGGCTTCAGCTTTGCAGCTGAGGTTTGCTGCTTTTACCTCCCCACTGATGGGGTCTGTACACTGAGCCTCAGGGGGTTTGTAACCTGCCCTGCCAAGAGGAGACAGATATTTCTGGAAACAGCTGTGGTCCTGGCAGCTTCCTCAATTCAGCACTGAGGCTGGGTCTTTCACAGCTTGCATAGCCCCAGTTTGCTTTGGGATTTTTGCTGAAGGGATATGATGCCAAGGGCATTATTTCACTTCCAGGAGGCTGTCTGCCATTTCTATATTATCTCACATGGCCATGGAGCACTGCAGGTAATAGAAACCTTTTGTGTTCATTGATTATTCACAGCAGTTTGCTTTGCTAGGCATCCTCATAGGCCACAGAGCCTGCAGCCTCCCAACATGGGCAAGGGGACACATTTCCTTGCCACAGAGAAGCTGGCTTGAAAATTTCCTTGAAGTGTTCCAGCTCTGCAGATAATGAACACTTGGGTAACTTTGACTTGGGTTCACTCCTTACCAACTGCTCATGCCAGCTCTGGGCCTCCTGGATTCCTCTGGCCCAGCTGCTGCCCCTGAGAGGGTCTGGTAGCCCATTTATGCCAGGACCTTTCCTCCTTACATCCAGCCATGCACTCCATTTGCTAATCCTGATCTCTGCCCTGCATGGAACTGATCTGGGTTCCTGACAATGTGAGCTGGGACCCAGCAAGGCCAGCAAGGAAATGTTGAAACTCAGATATCTCCATTTCACTTTAAATTTTGGGGGGAAATACTGAAAACCTCTTTATGGAGATTGCATTTTTGCAGCAGCCTGTTTCCTCTTTCGCTCTCCTTCTTTGCTCTCCCACCTCTTTGTCTGCTAAATAAAACAACCTACATTTTTGACCTGAATTACTTTATGTGTCCCTGAAGGCATATGCAGCTCCTTGGACTGCAGGAGGGTTTTCTTCTACACTGCAGTCAGATACCATCATTAGAGATGACAGTCAAGCTGGATCCTCCCCCCACAAATCTGAACACTGTATTTTTATTTTGCAATACAAACAATAAACCCCTGGATTTCTGTAGCACTGGCTGTCAGGGAGAAGATTGGGCTGCATTGCAAACAGGCAGGCATCAATCCTGTAGGCAAAATACCTCCCTGTTTCTGCAGGTGAGAACTGGAAAAGAAAAAAAATTGCCAGCATCACTTAGCAAGGGCCTGGATCTGCCTGCACCTGCATTTACATTAATCAGGAGTACTCCAGTGCTGTTAGCAGGCAAACCAGCAGCACACCAAAGCCAGCACCCCAATCTGAAGATGGCTCCTCCAGCCCCTGCAGTGCTCCTTCCCCTCTGCCCTGCTAGTGCCTCTCTCTGGTGACCAAACTTCCCCAGGCTCCCCGGAGGGCATCCAAGGACCACGAAGCTCAGAGCAGCAGCAGGACAATGGGGTGGGGTGTCCTTTTCTTTTCCTTCACCTCTCTGCTGCTGAGGCTAAGGGAGCAGCTAAAGCCTGCAGAGAGCCTGTGGGTCAGGCCTTAGCAAAGCCCCACACAAAGCACGTTTTCTGAGTGGTGAGTTTTTTGAAAGGACAATGAAATTTCTCATTCTAGCTCATTTTAACACTCTGCCTCTAACATGCATGGCAGACTTGCTGAATTAAACCAGCCATGCTAATTTCTCTTGTTACAGCAGCCCTATGTAACACACAAAATGCTCCGCTTTAGAGGATGATATTATAAAGAAGGACACTGTAATTTAGTGGCTCATTTAATGTGAACCAGGAGAAATATGAGGCATGCCAATGCTGCAGTGGGGCTCTATTTATATCCTTTTTGGTGTGCAGTATGATTTATAATAAAGGATCATTTTTATATAGTATTAGCATGGTAATGGAGCTTACTGGGTTACCATGTCTGAAGTTAGAAAATATTGTATTAGAAGAAGCTCTGCAAACGCCATGTAAGAATAGCCCTTTCTACAATATTAAATCATTATTCCAAGCTTTTAAAAATAAATATTAATGCACTCTATTTACCTAGGAATCCAGGCTTTTATCAGTGCAGCAGGAGGATCTACCTCTCAGAGTTCAAAAGGTTTGTGTAGCCTCACAGGGTTCATTTTGTGGCTCCCTGCCACACTGCTCAGCACCCTGTGGTACCCTGTGGCACCCTCCGCATCCTCCTCTGCCAGGAGCCCAGGAGGGGGCAAAAGGCAGAGAAAGCAGAAGAGCCATGTTCTTCTGAGGAGCTGGTATCACAGCTTATGAGAAGTATTCCCTTCTTCTGCTCCCCTGTGCATGAAGCCCTGTGGTCCCCTGCAAGTGTCCCCTGCCTTGGGGATGTTGGTGGGGAGGAGGAAGGGCCAGGATTTACCCCCTTAGAGGTCTTTTGGAGGCCACACAGTAAGTAAGTAGTGGAGCCAGGATGAGAGCAGAGCCACTCCTGGCACCTCGCCCTCTGCATGATTCAGAGCTTGTTTCAGAAGCAAGCGGACTGCATAAAATTTCATTTGTCCACCTAGAAAGCAACGTGTTCTGCTTCCCATTTAAAGCCTGGGAACCTCATGATGATTCAGAGCACATACAGGAATGCACCTCTACACTGATTTTAGTGCGGGTACCACAGAGTGTACCAGTGATTAGTTCTGCCATGCACGTGGGCAAAGGAACAAAATTTGATTTAGAAACAAGAGGGCAACTAATCAGCTGGAGGATGCCAGCAAGAACCTTTGCAAACATCACTTCCACTGGAACTTAAGTGCAAGGTGGGGAGATATGAAAGGTTTTCTTTAAAGCATGGAGGTTGCTAGTGTTGCTCCACCCTTGAGGAAAGATGCTGGGCAGGGAGGAGCTGCAGGAGGCCACAGTGCCCCTGCTGCTGAGCCCCAGTGCCAGAGTGCCTCTGACCAGCTGCAGAGCTGAGGCTTGCCCTTTGGGGTAACAGTTTGATTATTTTCAATGCTGGTGGGGCTGATGGTGCATTGGCCATCCTGGACCAACCTGCAGGAAGGGCAGCCATGAGGAAACCACCCTTGGCACCATTCATAACACTGCATGCAGCTGGCAGACTGTGCCAGCACGTGCTCCCAGCCCGTGCTCCCTCCAGGTTCAGGACAAGATGGATGTCACCCTGCAGCCTCCAGCACATGATGTGTTACTGGAGGGAAGTCCCCCTGCTCCCCATTCTCCCAGCTCTGTGGGGACACAGCCACTGCTGCCAGCCAGGAAGGTGACACGCAGGAGCAGACAAAGCCAGAGCTGACTCTGCTTCCTGCTGAGCCAACCTCAGGGAAATTACCCAGCCACTTTGAATAAAAGTGAATTAAGCAGCCTGGCAGTAACTCAGACCATATTTTATTAACTTGGACAGAACCAAGTAACATTAATCCACCACTCTGAATTTTTTTTTTACAGCCATGCTTTAATATATGAAAATGTGCTGGCAAAATTTTCTGTAGGTTACAACCCTCCAATTAGCAACACTCACACCGTGGGAGGGTTATGCCTTAAATGAGGGCTGAGATGCAGCGTGGAGCCCCACACAGCCCACCTGAGCACCAAGGGAGCAGGTGATGGTTTCCCCTGGTGCTTGCTCTGCCACCTTGAGGAAAGCCCTAGTGGCTCATCAGGTTTTAAGTGAGGGATGCAGGTGCCTGAGGAGCTTTGGTGGTCACTGGGAAACAGTAGGCACTGGCTTTAGTCCACAGGAGTAATCTGCTGTGCAGAGGTACCTCCCTCCCTCTCTCCCTTGCCTGTGTAGGAAAACAGTTTTTCTTGGCTCAGCAATTGCTATGGCTCAGTTCTGCAAAACTGGGGGTGCCTCTGCTCAGACTGCTGGGTATGATGCCTCAATGCTCACCCTTTCTTCAGATAAAATGCACCCCAGAAAAAAGTCAGACATCTAAGGAGAGGCAAGAATCACCTCCTGCACAAGTTTCCCCCTCTGGGCCACCCACAATACTTGGTGGAGTTCAGGACAGGGCTGCAGAGCAGGCCTCCACTTGCTGGTGGCCAAGAGCTCTTGCCACTGGCCCATAGGGGCTGCCAGGGGGTCAGCACTCCTGGGGAGGTCTTCAGTGGGCTAGCAACCCACCAGGATCTCTGTGTTTTACAGATGCTGCCTTTAAGCTTAGCACTGGCAAGGGGGTCACCTTTGGTACAAATTAACATCTCTCCCAGTTTTTGCATTCTTGTGCCCTGTGTAAGCCTACCAAGAAATAAAATTGCCCTGCCTTCCTTATTTATTAGCAATAACAATCCTAATAATACTTCACACATCAGTAGGAGCTTCCATCTGAGGAAATGAATGCACT